ATAGCAAGATGATATAAGAATATTAGCAGTGAGAATGTTTCAATGTCTAGTAATTCAATACTGATTTTTAGGGCAATGATTAAATTCAGAAACGAGTTTTAATTCATGGACATTTTTCCCTTTTCAAACGGTCTAGCATATTCCATTTAAATTATGTGACAACAGTTCAAAATTTGATCCAAAAAATATAGATTTAGCTCAGAAATTTTCTCTAAAAATGTAGGAAATTTCAGAGTTTCAAAAGTTGAAAACATTTCCATTTGGTTCAAATGGAAATGTTTTTTTAAGAACATTATTTGTGTTTATGCCATGAATGCTGTGTCACACAGTTGTAGCCATACAGTAAAGTAAAAAAAAAATAAATCTTTTTTATTGTCGACATGTTCATATTGCTCATTTTTATCAAATTAAAACTGAAAAGAGTTATTTATTAAGACGTTTGTTTTATCTCTTCGATAATATATTAAATAGATAATATATTGCTGAAAGCGAGTATTCTAATTTTGATAGAAAAGGAACAATGATTTTTGATCAAATGTTGATCCAAAATAAAAACCATCACAGGGTAAATATTTTCCAAAGCTATTTTCCAAAGCTATTTCTGGGTTTATTCTCCTTGTTTTTACAACAAAAGCTGGACAGTGCTTGCTAGCTTTAGCAAAGTGTAAACACCAACATTGTTAATGAAAGAAAGAAAAATACTTTTGTCTTGTACCTAAATAAGTAAGTGATTAAAATTTTATGTGTCTATAAAATATTCATTAGCTTTTTAATTGTTGACCAACAGGAAAAATAAATCCACCATCATGCATTTTGACTAAAAATGTCCATATTGTCAGCCCTGGTTGAAGATTTTATAACTGAAGCAATTTCTTTCAAATATTTCAACAATTATGACATCATCAATAAACATCCTATGCAGCTTTTATATAAACTTTTATAGAACTGAACTGTTTAGAAATTCCTTATTTAAAACTGAAAACTACTTTAACACCATGTTCAGAATGGAAGGGTGTCCCACAAGGATGTTGTATAAGCCCTTATTTCTTTGTTTAATAAATCAGTTTTGATAGAAACTACTGCAGCCAAATACATTCACTTGCTGATATTACAGTTGTTTGTGCTGCAGCTCCCTCCTTACAGTGAACTGATGAAAAACATTGAGCTTTTACAGGAAGCGTTCAATCACAACTGAAACTGGTTTTCAACTCAAAGAAAACTAATTTGTTTTTTGCGATACATGAGATTTTTCCATTGTCAGAAGGAATTAGCCTCTTTCGCCATTTTGCCTCTAAATATCATTTATCAAGAGCAACAAAACCTTAACAAAAAAGACTCAAAAAGATTAGTTCTACATCTATAAACAGAAAAATTGGCGAAAATGCTATCGTTAAAATAAAAATTCTAAAAATTACTTTTTTTTTATTGGCCTTATATTGAATAATGCTAATTTTAGTGGCTAATTTCCATAAAGTTTTACTAAAAAAAGCTTCCTTCATATAAATGTTTGGGAATCTGGTAAAAGGAAAAAATAGCCTTTGATGCTCATTGATCTTTTTGAAATAATCTTAAACATAATTACATTTCAGAAAGCATTTTTTTCTTCGCAGCCAGAAAAAATTATTTTCTCTTTGTGTTGTGATTTATATGCAAGATTCTATGTTTTTGTTGAAAAGACTCGATGCATTTCTCCTTGTTGAGTTCATCTCCAAATAAAACAGAGTAGAAAGACATTTTACTATTTATTAGAAGCTTTCTTAGATAATTTATCTATTTATTATTTTTACGCTTTCAGCATTTTATAATGCTATTTATGAAACCAGGTCATAAGTAGGGTGAAAACAGAATAAACTTAATGTGCAGCATACATTCTATTCATTTTTAAATTTATATGTATGCCGCCATCTTTACACAACATTTTCAGCTAAATAAAGACTTTATTCCGGTCAACAACACAGCAAAACTACAGGGGACTGCAAAGTAATTGTAGTCATGCAAAAACCAAAAAAAAAGATGTAATGTGTTATTTCTGGATGATAAGCTCAGTCAGGTCACTTTTACAACCAAAGACTTCATGGTGGCTTTAAGAGTGACCAACGAGGAAAACAAAACGCATCCAGACCACACACATGGTGGGGAGAGTAAACGGCAAGCTGGGCATTTGTTACAGCTGAACCCGGGTCAACCCGAGGTCACATTCAGTTCTGCAAAAGTCTCTATCGTGCAAAAGTCTTAAATCACTCCAGTCTTGCTTCAAAGTTTGCACCAAGATTTCATTAGTATTTCTCAATACCTCTTAAGTGTTTTTTTAACTAAGCAATCAAATGTATAGCAGAAGTTATCTATATAGAAGATTAAAGAAGAGTCAACCACAAAAAACTATCCAGAAGATAAATAGTATGTCCTTACAAAAAGGGGGAAATGATCCACCAAAGGACAGGTTTCAGCTGATTGGTCTGTTCTTATTTTAATAAATTGAATTGATCCCTTCAGACCTGGTTTTTATCGACAGAACGTTTCTTATATTGTTAGTCCACTTCAGCATTGAATTATCGGAGGTAAAAAAAATTTTTTTAAATCATTTCAAGAAAGTCTGGAAGTTAATGCTCATAAAAAGAATAATTATGAAGCCACAAAAAGAAAATCTATAAAATACTTAAATACACTATTTAATTTGCATGGTAACACTAATTAGTTAAGCGTTAGCTAATATTTCCCAGCTCCTCCAGTTTATTGGATGGACATTCAACTTTGGAAAAAAATTCCCACAATAATGAAAATATTTTTCAAATAAACTTCAAAATATTTACAATTATAAGAGTAATTTTACTAGGTTACCATGAACTTAAATCTATATTTTTGATGGAAGATAGACACTTACTCCTCCTCTCTAGTTTCAGAGCAACGATTGTCTTGTCCGATACCTGAAGCTCATGTCAAGATTTATAACTTCAATGTTTTCACTAAACTATTCAATAACAAGAATCATTGAAATGACAAAATCAATGTTTTTATTGGTTTAAACCCAGAAATGTATCCTGTCCATTCCAGTGGATATGGGGTTTTTGAGATAAATGGTTCTTTACTGTTTGCTATATTTTTATCTTGAGTTTGGGAGATTATTACGTAAACAAAATAAATTATCCATCACCTGCAGTTGCTCACTGTCTCAGACAAGTTTGTTTTTTTATATACAATATATATATCTGTAATCAAATGTCAGATATTCTCCCACCTTTAATGTAACCTAAAATATGCACAAAGTTAAAAACGATCTGAAATATTTCAGAATATAAAATAGATCTAGACCTGGGGACGTTATTCTGAATGAACCGCCACATTCAAACTTGTGTTAAATAAGAGACAGAAAATGCCTCCCATCATTTAAAGTCCCCAGAAATAAGTGGGTCAAGTTGCATTTCCTAGTAAAAGTTAAGATCTACTGAGAGCTTCCAAAGCATTAGAGGGATCAGGCATTTCATTACTTATGAGACACAGTTGTGATGAAGAAAATATGGTGCAATTTCCAAGACCTGAACATGATTTCAAAAGACCAAAGCCTGGATAAAGTTTCCCAAAAGACATCTGGAGATTCCTGAAAACGTGGGAAATAAAACCAAAGTGCAACATACACGCATCATTGCATGTCATCATCATGCAATGAAGCATGGTGATGACAGCATCATGCCTGGGAGTTGTTCTTCATCTGTAACCGAGGCTTCAGTTAAGCTAGAGGGAATAATAAACACAAAACTGCTGAAGATGGAGACTAAATTATTGCGCAGGAAACAAAAACTCAAAGCATCCGAATCAAGAAAATAACAGTTTCTCATAAGGAAGATTAAGGTGGCCAGACTTTAATCCAACTCAAAATCTAAGAAAATCTGGAGAAAAAAAACCCTGATCTGGAGCGTTTCTGGAAGGAAGTCAAGATTTGCTAAACTGAAAAAAGCTGTTAGAAAATAAGATATTTTTGTAAACACCTACAAAATTCCACTTTGTTTTCATTAATGGTGAAAAGATAAAAGCCACATTTAAATTGAAAATATCAACCTCTGAGTGAACACAAAATCTTAGCAAGTATCTTTTAAATTATAGCCCTGTCACCTAGCAAGCCAAGCAGAACTCCAGCACTTTGCTGTTGTGCAAAAGCACAAAATCTTAGGATGTTTGGTCCAGTTTTTAATGCAAGTATCTTGGCACATTGGAAATAAGACAATGCTAACTAACAAATAACATTTCAGCAAGACATAAGAGCTTAATTTTAGAGTCATTAATGTCTATATATTTACAAAAAAAGCACTACTTTCACTGGCAGATTAATTTATTTACAAAACATTATGTCCTATTAGTAAAATAATCTGCCAGTGAAAATAATTATTTTAAAATTAAATCTTCAAGAATAATTTACATAAAACAAACTCTTATAACTGGCTGAATAGTTACTTGACCTCTTTCAAGAATACTAAGATATATGTTCTAGAAACTAGACAAGATACTTCGTAAGATTTTATATTTTTGCAGCCCAAACATTCTTTGAAAGAAAGTGGCTGGTCTCTCAACATGTAAACAAGGATAAAAGCAGCCAAGGTCTACAGAAAAACCTTCAGAAGACCTAAAGAAATATTGACCAGGACAGCCTGGTAAGGAAGCTTCCTTGAAGGAAAATTACTAAGTTCGCTTTTAAATAACTGAGTACTTAGAAGCAAAAATCCAATCCAATCTTCTGTAGTAATGAGATGCTGGTCACTGCTGATATTTGATGTTTGCAGGAATAATCCGCCTCTATAATCCCACCTAATTCATAGGAATATGCTTCGTCAGAGTTTAGAGCTGCATTGGCACCTGTTTATCTCCCGGAAGTTCATTTTCTCCTCAAACATCCCCAGTGTTCATGGTGCGATTATGGCAGACTAGGAGGATTTTGCAATAAACAGCAGTGTAAAACATGCCCCATGATGTGACTCACTGTCTGTCTTCCTGTCTAACCCACTTGCTAGGATCTGAGCCAAGAAGTAAACTACACAGTGAAAAGCCAAGTGGAGCAGAGGGAGCGGAGCAGACAGCAGGCTAGTCGGGCAGCTGTGACGTTTTATGGCCTGTACCACACAGCTGGGATAGAGGTACATCTCACCTCTGTTGTTACTTCCTGAAAAGCATTCAGACTTCATAAATACTCAAAGAGAAGTCAAAGTACATAATACTTAAACTTCACCTTTTATACCTCATTGAACAGGTTGCCATTGGTCTTTGGGTGATACAAAACATATTCCTTTCATCTTTTGTACAAAGTCATTCTAAGATGATGACATTTTAGTCACTATTGGCACCCTAACTCTACCCTAAAAATGGCTGCAAACAGATGCGCAATTATACAACTTTACATCTTTGAAAAGCAGAAGTAGAGTCTCCAGCACAACCAACAAGATTGCAGCAATTGGTTTCTGGATAGTAAGTCAACAACAAAACACTTGTCTTTTTCAGCAGCTTTGTACAGCGAATCCAGAGGTAAAACCAGCTGACCAAATGTACTGGAGCTCCATTTGGATTGATTGGTTACTTTTCAGACACCAGAAAACATTAATTGCCATAAAACAGCTTGGTGGGGGTTTTAAGCAGTTGAGAGCCAAATGAAAGTATTAAAACAGACAAAATGTGAATTTTCATATTAGGGCCCCTTTAATGCTAATGCTTGTACTTTGGTGTAGGCTATTTATTGGTTCTTTCTGCCACAAAGTACTTAAGGTACCCTCTTATGAAAGTACTCTGTACATTGATTTGTGAACTAAAACACAAAATGGTTTTGGTGTACTTGAAGTATACTAAAATATGAACTATACGTATATGGCTGTATATTACAATGGGCGTAAAGAGAAGAGTATACTTCATTAAACTGAAACAGAGGCCAGAGCTTTTAAATCTGACCATATCAGGTACCTGAATGAACTAAAAGATCTAATAGTGGTAAAATATACTTGTATTAAACTGATCAAATATAAATTGCTTAGAACTTCTTAAATGTAAATAACATTGAACATTTTTCGCATTAATGTCATTTGACTGAATACAGATGAAAACGTTTTTTATTGGACTGATAAAATAATATTTAGGCACACAACCTTTTTCTTACTGTCTCCATTTATGCGTCTCTTTAGAGTAGAGGGCCACATTAAACATTTTGGCGTGCCAAATCTGGCCCCCGGACCTTGAGTTTGATACATGTTAACTAAAATGTATATAGTTGAGTGTACTTCCTGTACACTTCAATGTATATTTTAGTAAAGTGTACTTGAAGTATACCTGTAAACCAACACAAGTACATTGGCTCAACTTGAAATGAACTGTGCTACGTCTTGCTAAAGGATGACGACCATCAACCTTTTCAGTGAGGAAGGAAATGGAGGAAAACTCACGGGTGAATCTTCCCCAGTGGGTCCCGTTTCGCCTCCCGCTGACCGGTGTGCGCGTCCGCTGGCTGCGATCGTCCTGGATGAGCTGGCATTCACTGGTGATCCCTTCCACCGCTGCCTGTGTGACCCTGAGGAGTGAGCAGGGAGCCCGACAGCTGGAGCAGATGAACACATGCCGAGGGAGGGAGAGAAGGAGGGAGAGACGGGGTAGGACGGCCCATTCTTACCCCCCCGCTGGCCCCCTGCGCTGCCACCCTCCACCGCTCCCTGACCCCCCCGCCCCCAGGCGGGGTTGCCAGATCCGACTGACAGTTTCCAGCCCAAACACAACGTAAAACCCGCCCAACTCCAAAATAGAAGAAAAATCCCTCCCAAATTTCAACGGGAAGAATTGGGGAGTTACTTTACTTTAGTAACTTTTTGAAAAGAAAATACCTTGAGTATTTTTACTGCTCTACTTTTGAAAGTATTTGTACTCTTAATTCTACTCAAATAGCTTTTAAAAAAATATATATATAAATGTAAGTGGAAATTTTGGTATTTTAAGAAGCAAAATTAAAATATTTATTAAAAAAAAGCTTAGTTTTATTTTTATCACAATATTTTAATAAAACAAAGAAATCTGATTTCCATAGAAAAGGTAGCTGTAAATTATTGTAGATCTGAAACTTAAAATCTAGCATCATTACCGTGTATAAATAAAAACACAAATACAAACCATTGGTGTGATTTTTGTATTATCTTTGGATTTTGTGTTTTTATTTTAAAGAACAGTATGTGGGTCATTTATTCGACTTTTTGAACCTGAGACTTGCGTTGTCCTTTGACCTTATGACGTTGCGGCTCTTTATTAACAGATGGCTGATAATCGTTGATGATGTCACTTTCCACAGATCCTTGAAATAAATATTTGAAAGAATTTTCAGTAAAAATCTGCTAAATGTTGCAAAAATTAATTGATTTACTTCAACGGGAAATATTGATGAGCGTATAATGTGCTTTATTAATGATGTATAGTTGGTCTGAATTGGTTTTTATATCCTTCGAATTAATTTTATTGAGTCTAAAGGTTATTTCTCGTGACGTTGATGTACAAGCGGTGCAACCAGTAACTGACAGCTCCTCCATCTTTCTTGTTAGAGGCTGACCTTTGACCACCAGCTTTACTTTCTCTGGTTCGAATAAATACAGAACCTGAGTGTGTTGTGAAGTCAACCCGCTGGAGAGAAGGGTTACAAATATGTATCGGATTTAGCTAAGTGCTAATTTCCATCCGTAGTCTCATGAAATTTTAACAACAGCAAAGCCATTTTTAATTATTTTTTTCCAGCTCAACGTGTTAAAAAGAAGCCCAATTGGGCGGAAACCAGCCCCAATCTGGCAACACTGCCCCAGGGTGAAATTCCTGGTCTGCGGCCCAAATACCGAAATTCCAAATCTGTCCAAATCACACAGATTCACACACGCGCCCCCTCCTCTCCGCTTTCCTGGTCCCACAACACACCTGGTTTCATTTAAACCAAACCCCCGCAAAAGCCCCAGGCTCCCCACCCTCCTCCCACTTACCCCCCATCTATCTGTGCTCACCAGCTTCTCCTTTCCTCCAACTGTAAGCCCTCGCTGTCGTCCAATCTGACATGAGGGGATATTTATAGCAGTGGGAGAAAGAAGTTAATGGAATGTGGGCCAAGAAAAAAATCAAGCGACTTTCCAAAGAACTAGCAGGGAAAACCTGTCGGTTTCTTCCTGAAACAAAATGCTGAAAACTGGAGTCACGTTCCTTTCTTGTTAGTACTTGACTCAAGGATTTCTGTTTCCTTGCGTTATGATGCAAACTAATCGGGATGTTGCCTAACCAAAGGTAGTCCTTCTGAGTCAACTTGGGGTCAAACAATAAAACAGCGGAAGAAAAATAAGTTTTAAATGGAGAAATTAGTGGGTTATTTTAAAAATGAATTAATTTAATTTAACTCCAGTTCCATATTAAAGTAGTTATATCTTTTAAACTTTCAAATATTTCTGCCACCACTTGACAAATTTGTGTTTTATTCAAGTGACTGAAGTCTACTTGAAAAACTGCTCAGATATAATAATTAGCTGTATGAGTGTTTGTCTGTGTGGTGAGATATTTTCTCTATTTCTATTTTATTGTATATGCATTTTTAAAAACTTTTTTAACTAGCAGATGCAAATTACCTTATGCTATAAACTGGTGCAATGCATCAGATGGTGACGTTTATGTTTGATAAAGTTTTATTATTATTATTTTATTCTATTGTATGCTCTCTGAAGTTAAATTAAACTAAAAAAATTGCTGTTCCTATTGAAACAGCAGTGAGAATCCGAATGTGCAGAACGATTGCTGCAGAAAATGCAAGAAAGAGCAGAACAAAGCATAAGAAGTAGAGAAAAAACAGAAGAAACAAGTCATACATGAAATCTTTTGCTAAATAGTGAAATTTAGCAAAAGATGTAGCATAATTCAGCAGGAGCAGAATTTTGTATGAAACCTGAAATATTTGAAAAAGTTCAATTGTAAAATTTAGCAGAAGATGCACATGGGCATTCACCGTCCAGCTTTGCTTTGTTCTTTCTCATGAAAACATTTGGACTGAAACTGACTGACTGAGCTGCCAGATATGAAAACTGTAAGACGGACAGAGAGTCTGGAGAACCGTGGATCAGACGTCGGCCCAGCCAGCCTGGCAGAGATCAGAGTCCGCCCTGCGATTGGTGGCTTCCTGCCCAGCAGGAAGTAGTGAACGGCGTTTTAAAGCTGCTGCTGACGTCACATGGAAGCTGGACCAGAAATGGCTCTGCTGAAGGATTGGCTGCTGCTGCTGGGGCTGGGTGAGTCAGACACACTTCCACTGGCTCTGAATGCTTTGAGTTCTGTGTGTTATTTATTTATTTTATTAAAAAGTTGTCATTTTGGTTCCTCATTTCTATTATGTGGCTTTATTTAGCAACAGAAACAGAAAGTTCCTTCTCCAGGTTTTGCAGTAAGCTCAGCGTCTCTGCAGAAGAGAATCATTGGAGATCAGAACTGTAGAGACGATGATCTATGATCTATCATGTGATGATCTATAGATCTGATCTATAGATATACTCAAACAGAAGAAAAGTTCTGTGGCGAATCTCTGATCAGTGATCGGTGGGTTCTGACCGCAGCGAGAAAAAGTTTCACTGAAAAATCACCAATAACTGATTGTTTCTTTAATAATTGTCTATTTTTGCCGAGGGTTAATGAGGTACTTGTAGGAGTTCATCCTAGAAGTGCTCCAAAGCGGATGTATACAATCTCAACATGAGGTTTATAGAGACAGCAACGGTCATCAACATGACATCATGTCAGGAAAAACAACAATCCGACCAATCAAACTGCCTGACTGTCCAGATACTGCAAGTTTTATCTTCTCAAATTTCAGAACTTGGTTCTTGGTCTGTCGGATGAGGCACAGTTCTGCTCTGGTCTCCCAGAGTTAGTTATTTTCTTCATATGACTCATGTTTAGTTTTGTTTTTCTTGCGTTGATACAAAAGTAAAAAATACATTTCATACATAACATCCTGCAGTTTAATAACCACAGACAACAAGGTGATGTCCTGAGCAAAATGTGTCAACACTTAAACAGACATTACATGTTTATGCTTTTTCTCTACAGTCCCACAAAGTCCAGCTGATCTTCAGTGTGCAGAGTTTAAGATTGATGAACATGAGAAGTTGGAAAAGTCGGGGACTTTGTGCTCAGCTACCAGAAGTGGTTCAGTGTGGAAAGCTCTAAGAAGCCTTTAAGCAATTTCCTGCACAAAATTCATACATTGTTTCTGTTTTATCAAATAAATCACAGCAGCAAATCGACTAAAAGCTTTGTGTTTGTGACAGGGCGACTGGTGCAGGATATGTGTTCAAGAACAGGCTGTATGGCGTTGGTTCCTTCGTTGGAGATCCACTGTATGTGTTGACAAAACCAACTGGTTTCCTGGATGTCTGTGACTACAAGCAGTGGATAGATGACACAATTAATTAACCAAAAACCCGAGGTTGCTAAATGTTGCTAAATGTTCCCAGCACCATAAAATGACAAAGTTTAAGCTTTAATTTTCAGTTGATTCATTTTCTGATTTCCAGCTGAATTATTTGGGGATTTAAGTTAATCTGCGATGATATCTTATTTCTCAATAAGTGAAGCTGCTGTTTGTAATAATCAGTAATAATATCCACAGTCACAGGACTGCTGGAGATAAATGGCTGTTCTCTGATCAGATTGTCGCTCTTGTGCTTATTTCTGGTTGTTAGTGAAGAAAACAACAGATTTTAAAATATTGAACACATATTAAACCTGAAAGGCTGTTAAACGAACTTAGAATCCAGAAAAACTACTTCCAGAATAGGAACATTAAAAATGTGAACATACTTGAAAAACCCAGGGGATTCTCACTTCCTTATACTTATCTAGCAACAAGTTCAGGATCAGAACAAACTTAGAATCCAGAAAAAAATACTTTTTAGACTCCTATTCTTCCAACCCAGAACAGGAATTAGACCAGAGGATACTTCTTGTTCTTCTGCGCTTCACAGCAAAGGCCCAATAAACCAATGATTATATATTGTTTAATAATAAACAACTAAAATTGTTGTTTTATAGAGTTATGAAAAACAACTTTTTTTTATAAGTTGTAAAACAATTTCTTTTTACAACTTTTCCAAATAGTTGTAAAATAAATATGGAAACCTTATTTGTAAAATATAGCAAAAAAGTTTGCTATATTTTTGCTACATAGCAAAAGATATATAACATTATTCAGCAGAATTTTGTATAAAACCTGAAATATTTGGAAAAGTACATTAGTAAAATTTAGCAGAAGACGTAGCATAATTCAGAAGAAGCAGAACATTTGAAGTTTGCAGACAGTAAAAGCAAAAGGTATTTGCAGAAACGTAGACGAGAATAAAACAGAAACACGTCGAGTAAATAGGTTTTCTGTCTGCACTCCAGAAGAGTTTGACAGAAAACATTCGTTTTCAGTCTTTAGTAGAAGAAATACATGCATAAATTATGTCTGTAAATATCTATGAACAGCATCATTTTGTTTGCCAACAAGCATAAGTTAAAAACTCATTAGTTACTAAAAACACTCAATAGAGAATTTCACCAGAGGATTGTAACCCTTAAAACAATCAAATATCTGCATAAAACTTAAATCGCAATTGTGGATAAACTGTAAGAGATAATCAAAAGCCTAAAAATATGAAGCTAGTTTACAGTCTTGTGACTTGTTTCAAAGATGAATGAAGTTTCTATGTTGAAGTTGACAGAAGTACTAAGTTGTGAAAAATCAGAAGATTTTCGTAGAATTTCAATGTATTTCAATGGGGCTGAAATTTGCACAAAAGTGCAAATATTTCAAAAAGTACAAAAGTAAAATTGAGAAAGGAATATAGCAGAAATCTCCAGAAGAACATTTCGATACATGAATTAGTAAAATTGGTTAGTTTGCAGAAGTAGTTAACCGGATCTTAATCGGCGAGAATGCAGGAATCTCACTGCTGATTAAATCAAATGTATATAGTTGCTGATAAAGATGCAAAGATTGATTCCTCCTAAAGTGAGTCCTTCATGAGGCTCTTAAGTAACAGTTCTTCAGTCATAGGCTTTTTCAGAACCACTGTGACACAGACTGCTACAGTAAATTCTGCCCATAGCCATCATCATTTCATTTCCTTTTGGGATTAATAATGCACTTTTGTAATCAGGTTTTCTGATTTATTCCACGTTTTTTGATGTGCACCTCCAGTTTTTTGGTGTTTTCAAAGCCTCAGCCCTTTTGTGTGCTTTGTTTGTTTATATGGTGGCAGAAAAAGCAGCTGTCATTACGGCCACCCCCTCTCCAAACGGCCCCTCCTGGCTGCTCCCCCACGGCCACACACAGACACCCCACACACATAATGTTCACATCCAGATTAAAAACACTCAAATAGTTCAAACTCAGTGCAGCGTTTTTAAAAAAAAACATAAAGGATTTGATTCACTTTTTCCCCTTCTGCTCTCTTATCTCCACCCAGCGGATAATAAATCCTGTCCTCTGCTGGGTTAATGGGAACATCTCTGCCATTTAACGCTGCACATAAAACACAAAGACGTGTTAAATGGGAAAAATAAAACAGAACGACGCTCCGGTGGTAAAACCTTTATTTTATTTATAAACCAAATTTACAGAAACACAACAATGAATGCGGCAATAATGGAACCCGGAACGTAAGAAATGGATCTCTGCCAAAACGGAGAGAGAGAGAAACGGCTTCAGCGAGGAGGGAAACGCCTCAGTCGTGATACATTTTGAAGATGCAGCTTTTGATCACGCCCATATATCTGTCCCACACAGCCTGGTGTCTGAGGGCAGAGAACAAGCAGTCAGTGGGTGAGTGATGCAAAGTCAGAGCTGGCAAGCAGGAATTGTGAAATCTGTGCAAAGAGAGTAAATGAGGCAACCGGGGTCCCTGAGTTTAACCAGGGGGTCTTTGCTGCCATTTATGAATATCTCTTTGTTAGGCCTGAAGCAGAGCGGGGCTGTGTAAACCTTTAATTACATTCCTGAGAGTTTACATGAGAAACAAGGCGACTACAGTTACAGAAACCACATGGAAGACATGCCAGAACAGAGATGACAGCTTCAATGATAACGAGAGGATTCTGCTGATGATCGTCGCCTTTTTTGGGCCTTTTCACCGTTCTGCTGTTTTTCAAAATAGAAGTTGTACAAGGAGTTCACAGTAGCTGCGATTCCTTTACAAACGTACGCAAATTTTGCAATTCTGGCGTTTCCATGAGATAACTGCTAATTGTCTTTGTTATGGAGACTTTATATTACAGTTTCTTCTATTAAAATCTTGTTGTGCATTGTAATATAAAGAAAATTTTTCAACCTGATTGGTAGATTTGGTAAATTGCAACGTTTGTTGCATTTTCAGCTGGTGCGGTTCACTTTCACACTGCACTGCGGTGGCGCTGCACCATGAGCCAAACTCCAAAAGAAGAATTTTAGCGTTTAGTGGTTGTAGGATTTCTTATTTGTCTTTGGTAAAAGACTACGAGACATTTCTCACTGTAGCGTTAAACTCACAAGTTTGTTTTAGTTGTATTTACCCAGAATGCCGTGCGCTGTAGTCCACTTCCTGCTTTTGGAGCCATCTCTGGTCTGCTTGGTGTTCACATATGCATTCGAACTGCAGAAGAGTTCACTTCCAACGAACCGAGACAGAGGTTTTTAGGCAGACCAGAATTCTCATCAAAATTTTGCTGCACATTTGCTTCACATTTACCCAAACAAACTGGACTTTCCAGACAAGTTTGATTAGAACAAGATTAGTCAAACCCCGGTCTCAGTTCGGGGAAAGTGAACCCTGGTGCAGTTTAAAGGCATATGTGAACACCAAGCAGACCGGAGACTGCTCCAAAAGCAGGAAGTGGACTACAGCGCAGGGCATTCTGGGTAACCAAAGCAAATGTTAGCCTAGTGCTCCTGTGAGAAATGCTCGTGGTCTTTAGCCCAAGAAAAAGGAGAAATCCAACAACCCAGCGAAAATCTGCACCACTCAATTTTTGTCTGCATTTTGCAAAGAAGGAAGTTGCACCGATGTCTTCTTCAGAGGTTTTTGTGTAATTTCCTTCAGTAGTTCTTGGTGCAGTGCCCCCGCAGACGAGGAGGGGAACAGGCTGTTCTAATTGTTTGGAGCAAGTGAACCACAGCAGCTGAAAATACAACAAATGTTGCAATTTTGGTTCCAGTCTACTGGATTAACAGGTGTGAAAACACCCTTAGGTTGTTCTTCAGTTTCCTGACTTGCACTCCGACCAATAAAGGCGCGTTTACTCACTTGAATGAGTCCAGAATGTGTGCCGAGTTGGTGTAGTGGGTGAGGTAGAGTTTTATGTCTGCAGATGTCCATCGGTCTGAACGGCACGGCTCAATAAACTGGAAAAGAAAAGAAAAGCAGGAGGTCATGCAGCCTTGCAGACTGACAGATCTGAGATCAGATACTAACCTTCTCTACCAGATCAATGAAGAAATCTCTGACATCTTTGGTGTTTGTTAATTTTGTGGCAATGTTGACGAGGCCTCTGGAGAGATTCTGGCAGAAAGAGAGGAATAACGCTTTCACCGGGACAGTTAACAACCGATTACATTTTACATTAAACCAGGAAGTGTTCCTCACTTTAAAATTAGCTTCCATCTCTGCGAAAGCTTTCGTTTTTCCTCTGAGAGCCGTGCAGACCAAACTGAGAGCAGAGCAGAGAAAGAAACAGGAAATTAGATAAAAGTGTGCTGATAAAGCTTTGTGAGAAAGCCAGGCCATTTTTCGGCCATCTGCACATTGGATTAGGAGCGTGTTTTCATTACCTTTTGTGTTGATCCAGCAGATCTTTGTCGGTGATTAAAATCTTCAGCTCTTTCAGCTCCTGTAAAAACTCCTTGTCCAGGTCGACGTCCATGTCTTCCACCATGTTGTCTACGAAGAGCATTCAAGTTGAGACTTCCACGAATCATTTCAGAAGAAATCAATTCCTCAGAATTGTCTCTGTGTCAAACACACTCATTATCAAACTGTTTTGTTCCTAATGGAAACCATTCAGACTCAGAATGAACTCAAACCGGGATGAGTGAAACTTGAAGGACCTCTGGTGGTCACTGAAGGAACAACAGTGAACCGCTTGTTTTAAAAACACTTGGATACGCAGGTTTATTATCCCAGAGCTGCATAAACATTGAATCTCGAAAAATTACGATGTGACATTTGATTAATGAGTTATGCAGCTGCTGAAAGTGACATAAGTGGTGTTTATGTTTTATGTCAGTAAAAAGCGCCAAAGCAAACAAGTAAAATTCCTCACCAACAGCCCCAACTGTCCAGTTGTTGATAAGCTGCCCGGCGCAGAACGCAAAGTCCTGGAAGGTGAGATACTGCAGCTTTTTCTTCCCCGTCTCAAAGCGGTTGTTGGCAAAGAAAACAATGGCAGCGTAATCCCTGCAAAAAAAGAAAAAGGACAAAAAAGCTGCAGTTTTGATGTGTTTGAGAAGTGTTAGAATATTGAGGCGAAGAACATTTTTATACATTTTATTACAAGACTGAAGTTTTAATAATACAAAAATAAAAAGATGTAATATTCCAACCTTGTTATAGAAATATATAGAAATATTATGACCTCATTCTCATACAGTTGTATACTCATAATATAACTTTATTCCAAAATATTATGACT